GAAGGATCGCCGGAGTCCAGCAGGCGAGGCTGTGGTGGCCGGGAGCGGCCACTGCACTCCCGTCTGGGCGACAGAGTGAGACTTCGACTCAAAAAAATTAAAAACAAAAATAAAAAATTTATTTATTTATTTATTTATTTTTAAAAAAAAGATCCAAATGGGCAAATCCATAGAGACAGGAAGCAGATTAGTGGTTACCAGGAGATGGGAGAAGGGGGAATAGCGAGTGACCACTTAATGGGTACAAAGTACGTTTCTGGAAAAAGTTTTGAAATTAGAGTGGTGGTTGCACAATGCTGTGAATGTACTAAATACCACTAAATTGTGTATTTTAAAATGGTTAATTGCATGTCATATGAATTTTACCTCAATTAAAAAAAAAACAGAGACCAAAAGCTCTTCCCCCAGTACCTGCTACAGAGGACAGGCCCTGGAAAGTGACAAGTGAAACTGCTTCTATGAGCCTCCCTTGACATGCGTGCCATCATCAGAAGTGGTCCAGGCAGCAGGGAGTGGTGGCCGTCACAAGCAAAGGGCCTTTCCCAGCTACATACCGTCTCATACTGCAATTCTGACTTTCTAAAGCTGGCAGATTAGAACGCTCAGCTGTTCCTCCTGGATCAAGACTTCTGCGGCTCTTTCCTGCCTCCACTCAGTCAACGCATTGAGCAAATGCAGGTAAAGGAGGCCCTGGCATGAGTGGGCTGAAGGCCTGCCTGCTCCAGCCTACCCGGTGGTCAGCTAGAGACCGACAGACACACCTGTGGGGAGAGCTTGAACATGGGTGCGCAGACGATGAGGGGGGTGGAGTGGTGTTTTGCTGCCAAGGCCAGCGTATGAGTTCCTGTCACAGCTCTCAGGGCACCATTGGCCAGGATGGTCTTCGTGCCAATGATCACCTATGAGACAGGAAGAGAAGTGTGAATCACCTGGGGACAGAGCTTTAAAAGGACCACTGGCCACAATAGGCTGAATGCCAGGCCTCAGACATGGCGTCGTGAGGAGTTACAGACCCGCAGAAGGAAAGGGGACCCCAGACTCAGTACAAAGTCCAGCTTAAAAGTAGGTTCCCAGCTGTTTTTCTTTTTGAGAAACTTGCCCGTGGCAGGTCTTTCTGCTACGAACCTTCCTTTTTCTTTCTTTTCTTCTCACTAATAAACTCTGTTTTAAAACTTAAAAATAAAAAAAAGTGGGTTCCCAAGGAAAGAGTGAATGTAAAATGAAACAGGAAACTGCAAAACCTATTGCTCTTAGCCTTGTCTGTTCTGGAAATCGACATGCCACACCTCCTGAGAGTCGGAAGCCTTTTTCATTCTCCATCCACCACTGCCAAGCTCTTTGAGCAAAGGGCAGGAGCCCTACAGCTAGCCCCTAGCAGCTGACGCTCTTGGCTTAGTTCTACTTCATTCTGTCGCCCAGGATGGAGTGCAGGGGCATACTCACAGCCACGCAGACTCCACCTGCTGGCTCAGGCGATCCTTCCACCTCAGTCTTCCAAGTAGCTGGAACTACAGGCATGTGCCCAGCTAATTTTTTGATTTATTGTAGAGACGAGGTCTCGCCAAGTTAATGCCCAGCTAATTTTTTGATTTATTGTAGAGACGAGGTCTCGCCAAGTTGCCCAGGCTGATCTCACCTCAGCCTCCCAAAGTTCTGGGATTACAGGCATGAGCCACCGCGCCTGGCACTTCATTCTTTTCAAAGCTTTCATCAAATCTAGAGGCTGCTCCAAGTGAGGAACGGTTATGCAGATAAGCAGAAGTTCAGTTACTCAACTGAAAAGGCCCAAGTGTGTACTTTCAGAAGGTGCTAGAAACTTTCTTCTCTTACCATGGATATTACAGGAGGAGATAAAAATCAATACTTCAGAAGTACAATCTTTTGAGTCAGCATGATAACTGCAAATATACCCACCTTGTTGACTCTTGACATAACAGCAAAAATGGCAGCATCAGTCATGACAGTTGTCTCAATGCCAGCTTTGGACAAATTGACGGCCATTTCATGACCCTGCAATAGGAGGGAAGGGCTGATGCTAAGAGAAAGAGTGAAACAGGGAAAGGGCTCTCAAATGGAACTGGGTCTGGAAAATTCTGTGCTATGGGCACATCCAGCACACAACTCCCAACAGGTAACTCATGTTCTGCCAACGGTAGCTCTGGTAAGCTGCAGGGAAGCCCAGGAGAAGCTAATAAACGTGTAATACCACAGCAGCCCTACAGCAGCCACCAAACTGGAAATATAACCTGTTGGTGGCCTCAAGCACAGTTGACAGGAGGGTTCCTGGCTCACTCATCTACAGCCTCCTGCATCCTTGCCTGTTACCTTTTTGAGAGCTGTTATTAAGATCAAGTGAGGTCAGACCAAACACCAGCCATCCCCAAGGTAATGTACCTTATTTGGATTCCTTAAAAAATCAATATTTATCTTTTCTTGGACCCAGCAGTCCCTGCAACTTTCATAAACCAATGTCTAAGAATGTTCGCAGGATGAACTTGAAAATTCCCTTAATGTTATACTTTATCAATGTTCTGTTTGTCAGTTCATATTGGCGTGTACCCCCATCCCTCATCAATTCCCTCTACATTTCTCATTTTTCTTGGCAACTCCAGCAGTGCCCCTACCTGGCAGAAAGGAGCACACTCTGCCACGATGACATGGAACTTCCGCTTCTGGGCAGCCTCTCGGAGGAAGGCCTCTACAGTTCGGGAGAAGCCAATGGTCATGATCACCTCGTTGGAATGGATGTGCTCCAGGGCCTGTGCTGCAATGTTCTCCATTGTCCCTTCTACAAGAACAGTTTGCAAGGAAAATACGAAACTGTCATGTTACATCACAGACATGACCAGCACATGAAGAGGGATGCCTGCCCTTCACATACACTGCCCACCTAGCCAGCCTGACACTGCAGGGTTAATGTGCCCACAGTGAAATATCACAATTTCTTAAAAGCCCCACTCCTCTAGGATCTTTTGCCTTCCAAGTCCTCGGCCTGCCCTCCCCTATCCGCCAGCCACCTCCCCGCCACTGCGTAACTCCTCACAAATGAGTTTGAAGACAATGAGTTCAGGCAACAAATGGCAACCTGAGAGCCCTAAAGTGCTGAGATGGAGTCAACAGAGCTGTCCCCTAAAAGAACTCTTCGGCCAGAAGGCAGTCACCTGAGAGGCCAGCAAAGAAACATGGGGGAGGAATTCGGAAGCAGTTACTTTGTCCTCTGATTGTAATGAGTATCTGCAAGTCTCCTGAGTCACCAAGACAGGGGGATGGAGGTGTCAATAGGGGTGTATGCGTGCATAAGAATTAAAAAGAAAGTTCAGTGAAGGAAGGTCTAGAAGGAAGTCCTTGGTTTTGAGGACTTCATTTTCTTTCAAAAGAAAATAAAGCTCTGTCCTAGCAGAGTCTCTGCCACAGTGGATTTGCAGTCTACAAAGGGTCTCTAAGGAAAAGTAGAGCAGGTTACTTTAGTCCTGCTGCCTGTTCCAACTCTCCAGGAAAGAGGGCACACCTCTGAGAACCAGCAGACGACTGGTCACCTCCCATCGCTACTGCTGAACAACGCTCAGGGGCTTGTCCCCTTATTTGCCTGAGACTTGCACCCACCCAGCAAGGACCCTCTTACCCAGCTCCACTAGTAGCTCATTGATCGCCTCAATGATGCTGGCCTGGAGTTGGGCATAAGGGATGCTGAAATCCTCGGTCAGGCCCCCAGATGTCAAGAGTTTGTGTAGGGACTCCTGCTGGTCGCTCTCGTCGCTGCGTCCGTGGAGTCTATGGAGGCAACGAGACCCAGAGAGGGAGGCGGGCAAGCGGTGGTCAGGCAGGTGGCAGGACCGCCTCAGCTGCAGTACGTCCCCAAGCAGAGAGGAGCTCGTGCCGAAAGAGTCACTGGATCCCACCCGAGCCCGGGACATGGGCCTGACCTGCCATACTCCTCCCGGACGATCTTGAGCACCCTCCGCACCATGTTGCCCACGGTGGTCTCGGAGGGCTGCGCGGCCGTCATCCTCCTGCCCTCTCTGCGGATCAGATTCATCAGCTCCCCTGCGTCCAGAAGAGAGAGGGTGAGCGGGGCCAGCCCGGCTGGATTTGCGCGACGTCCTGCCCCGGGGTCGGGGTCGGGGACGGAGGAAGGGCCTGGGGGCGAGGGGGAGCCTGGGCGACGTCCCGCCTCGGGGTCGGGGACGGAAGAGGGGCCCTGGGCGACTCCGGAGTCAGGACGCAGGCGGTGGCCGGCCTCACCCGCGTTGCTCCAGCGGCAGTCCGCGATGAGCCGGCGCAGCAGCCCCAGGGTCTCCCGAGCCAAGTCCTCCGAGCTGCGCTGGCCGCCACCTCGCTTCAAGGTTTCCACGAAGCTCTCGATCCTCTCGGACAACTCCGAGCTCACGGCCGCGGCTCCCGGCATCTCTCAGGCAGTAGCCGGGCCGACAGAACCTGCCCCTGTACCACCACCGCGCTTGCACTTCCGGAGCGAGAGGTTAACTTCCGCTCGGGGAGGAAACCCGAGGGAGGGCTGGCCACGCTCCCCGCTACCACGCCCTTCCCCTCTAAGCCAATCAGAGGCGCGGGTCTCGGGTTGCTAAGTGACCAACGGGCGTCCCGGAGCCTCCAGGGCTGGGTACCGGCAGTGCTCTTCCTGGCTCCTCGAACGCGGAACGAAAGTGGCCGGCCAGGCCTGAGCAGGTTGTCTAGCTCCGTTGCTATGGGAACAGCGAGTCTCTCCACTCCTCCACCCCGCCCCGAGGCCTGGGGACACGACAGCCTTCCTCTCATGCTCCGCGTCGCTATGACCGACTGGCGTTCTCACACGGATGCTGAATGAACCCCAGGGCCGCTGACTCTGGGCACACCCGCATTTTATTTAGTAGTGGTAATAGTAGTAGTAGTAGTAGTAGCAGCAGCAGCCATCCTTCCGCCGCAGCCTCGCAAAGCGCTGAGATTACAGGCGTGGGCCACCGCACCTGGCCTGGACCCGCATTGTGGCGCAGTCACCTTGCACATCCTGCTTGCCCCTGTGTGTCTCTAACAGGTTCACCTCCCTGAGGGAGGAAGTCACACGTTTTTCTTTTTTCTTTCTTTTTTCTTTTTGGCTTTTTTATTCCCCAGGCCTCACACCTCTCACAGAAGACAGAGGAGACTACCCACCAATAAGAAGCTTCATTCGGAGCTAATTCAGAAACAAAGATGATGTCCTCCGATTTGGACAGACTTGTCTCCTGCAGGCTGGAAAGCATGACCAAGGGCTACCATTTACCTAAACCTTACTAGGTGTTGGGCATGTGTGAATTGTCTCACCAAATACAGCTCTGAAATAGGTCTTTGTATCCCTGTCTTACAGATTGAAAAACAGACCCACAGAATGTAAGCAGTTAGGGGATGAGTTCACACTTAAATCTAGGTCTATCTGAACCCAGAAGCTGTGTGTAATAGAAATCTCTACTTCCTTAAGATAAATTCTTCAAGCCGGGCTCAGTGGCTCAGCCTACAATCCCGCGCCTTTGGGAGGCTGAGGTGAGTGGATTGCCTGAGCCCGCGGGTTCGAGATCCGCCTGGGCAGCAAGACCTCATCTGTACGATAAATCAAAAAATTAGCTGGGCGTGATAGAGCGCGCCTGTAGTTCCAGCTACTAAGAAGGCTGAGGCAGAAGGATCACTGGAGCCCAGCAGGTAGAGGCTGCAGTGGCCGGGAGCGGCCACTGCACTCCAGTCTGGGCGACGGAGTGAGACTCCAACTCAAAAAAAAAAAAAAAAAAAAAGACAGTTGACAAATTGCTTTCCAAAAAGATTATCTTAAAACCAAAAACAGACAGAGGTAGTACAAGCAAAGAAAATTATAGCCAGATATCTTCATGAACATAGATGCCAAAATTCACAATGAATTGCTAGTAAATCAAATCCAGCAATACATAAACAGATACATATATATATATGTACATATATATATATAGAGAGAGAGAGAGTCAGAGTCTCACTTTGTCGCCCAGACTGGAGAGTAGTGGCACTCTCATGGCCACTGCAGCCTCGACCTGCTGGGCTCAGCAGCGTTCCAAGTAGCTGGAACTACAGGTGTGTGCGATCACATCTGGAATATTTTTTGATTTATTGTAGAGAAAAGGTCTCACCGTGTTACCCAGGCTGGTCTCGAGCCCATGGGCTCAGACAATCCTCTGGCCTCTGCCTCCCAAAGTGCTGGGATTACAGGCATGAGCCACTGTGCCCAACTAGAATAATATATAATTATGAAGTGGAATTTAAACCCAGAATATAATGCTATTTCAATATTTGAAATCAATCATTGCAATATGCTATATTGATCTAAGAAGTGAAACTGCTTAATCATGTCAATTGATACAGGAGGAAGCATTTGACAAAATTCAACATCCATTTATGATTTTTAAAAAATACTAAGAAAACTAGGAATAAAAGGGAACTTCAGCTTGATAAAGGGCATCTACAAAATCCTACACTTAAACTCAAACCTCATAATGATAGACTGCTGTCTCCCTAAGATCAGGAGAAAGGCAAAGAAGTCTACTCTCATCCTATTTAACACCATATGCAAAGTCCTAGCCCTTACGATAGTCAAGAAAAAGAAAAAAAAAACTTTCCGAGGCCAAGCTCGGTGGCTCAGCCTGTAATCCCAGCACTTTGGGAGGCTGAGGCAAGTGGATTGCCTGAACCCACAGGTTTTAGACCAGCTGGGGCAACATGGTGAGATCTCGTCTCCACAATAAATAATTAGCCAAGCGTGGTAGCACTCACTTGTAGTTCCAGCTACTTGGAAGGCTGAGGAAAAAGGATGGCTGGAGCCCAGCAGGTCGACGCTGGGGTGGCTGGGAGCGGCCACTGCACTCCAGCCTGGGCGACCAAGTGAGACAAAAAAAAAAAAAAATCCACAAGCCGGGCTCGGTGGCTCAGCCTGTAATCCCGCGCCTTTGGGAGGCTGAGGTGAGTGGATTGCCTGAGCCCCTGGGCAGGCGAGACCTCATCTCTACAAAAAATCAAAGAATCAGCCGGGCGTGGTAGCGCATGCCTATAATTCTGGCTACTTGGAAGGCTGAGGTGGAAGGATCGCCAGAGCCCAGCAGGTCGAGGCTGCGGTGGCCGGAAGCGGCCACTGCACTCCAGTCTGGGTGACAGAGTGAGACTCCAACTCAAAAAATAAATAAATAAAACGTACTGAGTGCAAAGAAAGAAAACTATTCACAAAAGAAGTGAGAGTTTACATAGAAAATCACAGTGGGGGTGGGATTGGCAGTTGAGGGAAATGCCAGGGGAGGGAGGGGCACACCTCACCAAGGGTACCTGCATAATGAACATTTGCATACCTAACCCTGAATTGTACCCCACATCTTTAAAATAAAAAAAAGAAGGGGGGAAAAAAGAAAATCACAGTCAACAGCATCAACAAAATATCCTAGAACTAATAAGTGATAGGTTAGCAAGGATACAAAAATTAATCATATGTCTATATGCTAGCAATGAACAAACAGAAACTGAAGTTGAAACACAATCACTCCAAAATTTCTAAAATATCTGTCAGTTATGCTGTGTGTTAATTTCTAAATGTCTTTAAAATTGCATTATTAATACAATTTTGGATATTGGCATTCTTTATTTCTCCACATACCAAGCCATTACACATAAGGTAGGCTCTATCTTATGCGTAGAAAATAACTTCTATGGGTATGTATGTAACACAAATTATAAGACATAATCACAAAATGAGCATTTGTGAACTAATCCCTCCACTTAAACTAAAATATTCAAATTCACAGAAACAGAAAAAAGAATGATGGCTGCCAGGGGTTGGGAGGAGAAGGAGAGTCGGCGCTTATACCTGTGGAGTTTTCGTTTTGTGGAAGCAAAGAGCGCTAGAGACAAATGACAGGTGAAGATTGTGCATTCATGTTGCACAGAGATTTGAAAGTGCTTCATGCCAATGACCTGTACACTTGAAAAGGACTAAGATGGTAAAATTTGTGGTCATGTGTATTTTATAATTTTAAAAATGGTGTATTTTACAATGCACATGTATGCATATATTTTTAAATCTTCAATACAGGTGAGGTGCAGTGGCTCACTCCTGTAATCCCAGCATTTCAGGAAGCTGAAGTAGAAGGACTGCTTGAGTCCAAGAGTTTGAGACCAGCCTAAGCAACATAGTGAAACCTTGTTTCTACAAAAAAGTAGCTGGGCGTGGTGGCAGGTACCTGTAGCCCTAGCTATTCAGGATGCTGAGGTGGAAGGATCACCTGAGCCCAGGCGGTTGAGGCTGCTGTGAGCCATGATCCTCATGGTAATACCATTGTACTCCAGGCTGGGTGACAGAGTAAGACCTCGACTCAAAAAAAGCACAAAAACACAAAAATGTTAATACTGTCAATGTCATTACATCATTGTGTTTGCCCACATCCCACACCCAAGAATAACTACTAAATTGAATTTTGATTGATATTCCTTTGGTTGATAAAAAATAAATTATTGCATATTTGCAATCCCTAGACAACATATTGTTTAGTTTGGCTTGTTTTGAGCTTTTTACAAATGGCATTATAACATGGTTTTCTACAACTTACCTTTTTTGTTCCATAAGGCATCCCTAAAACTTGTACATGTTAACATGTATCTGCAGTTATCATATTTGTATTGGTGCATATACTTTATCATGTGACTATACCATAATTTATGCATTCACTTTTCTTTCACAGATAATTGGGTTGTTTCTGGTCTTTTTGGAGAATCGATGGATACAAACTATAAATATTCCTGTGTATATTTTGGCATGTCTACAAGTGGAAGAGCTGGATCACAGACTATGTGAACATTCAACTTTACAAATAGGTCTACTCTTCCAAAGTGGCTCAATTGATGTATGCTCCCTCCAACAGTATTTAAAGAGTTCCAGCTGATCTTCTTCCTTACCAACATGTGGTATTACCAAATAGCTTCTCTTCTGGGAATCAGGCAGGTATAAAAGAATATTTCATTGTGGCCTTAATTTGCATTTTCCTGATTACTAATGCGGTTGTTCATTTTTTTTCACATTTATTGGCCATGTGGTTTTTGTGAACTGTCGATGTGTGCCTTTTGTCTGCTTTCTTTGGGCTTAAAAAATATTTCCCTAATAGATTTGTAGAAGTTTTTTATATGTTCTAGATACTAATCTTTTTCAGTTATTTGTCTTATAAATATATTTTCCCAGTTACAGCTTGTCTTATTTACTTTGAACCAGAGTTCTTGATGTGTTCAGATGTATCAACTTTTCTTTTATAGTTAATACCTTATTTAAGAAATCCTTCCCTAGGAAAAAGTACAAAGCTGAATAGAGCCGTGTTAGTTTGGAGAACTTGTGGATGATTTTTTTTTCAAAACTATGTTTAATAAATGATAAATATATTTGTAATAAAATGCAATGGAAACAGAACCTGTCAAGGGGGATAAAAATTGTAAATAATGAGGTAAAGAGGATA